CACAAAACGTAGCAAACCATCCTAAAGAAGAAATAATACGATGGAAGACTAAAGGCCAGAGAAAGAAACAAGTTGTCTGGAATAAAAGTAATGAATTATCAGTTAAAACTCGAACGGTTTACCTTATGTGTTGTAGCAAGCTATCAACTTTATTTCTGATATTTTATAATCTAGAAGATAACATTTCTTTAATATAAGTAAACTTTCACTAAAATGGTTGGTCTTTAAAGAAGCTTATCTATAAAGACGAATATTTTCTTTGACGAAACATTTACTTGAATATCTGCAAAGTTACGATTCGGTAATAAAAACGATTGATTTTATGGTGTTGGTAATCCTTGCTCTACACTTACTGATGCAAAGAATACCATTCCAAAAATTTCAGCAGTGTATTTCGTTCCACAAACTTCAGCAACAGCGGCCAGAATACAGACAAAAACAAGAGGAAATGTAGCAAAGAGGCCACAAATTCTATATAATGTACGTCACTTTTCCTCCATAAGGTGTCGCTACCAGAGTGAACAGCAATACTGTCTTTATTCCCAGCAAGAGGAGCATCGTTAACTAAAAAGTGATACATTTATATGTATTTAACTCAATGTGAATAGTTAAAAAACAAATTAAGAATACAAGAAGCCTGAAACCACAGGTAGATAAACAATGAACAATTTTATAATGTGTATTACAAACAAGGTTTTTAGTATCCATACATATTATTCTGTCCTGATTTTGTATTAAGTATATTTTATATTTGTATCCTTTGATTTCACTGGGAAAAAACTACACTGAGTACTTATGAAATCGACTGATTAGTTATGTGAGCTGATATTATTTGGATAATCCTTCCTTGTGCGTTATATTGAATTATTCTAAACATTCTGTCGAAACAGTGGTTTTCTAAATTTAATTTTTTTTAAATTATTTTCACTGTTTTCGTATCTCAGAGTAGTATTATAGAGATTTACTTTCGTTTTATGAGCAAAGCAAAGAATGGGTTATGTTGTTACCTGGTTAGGGATTTGGACTTCCCTGTTTCCATATCTTGGAGTATCATTACACACACATATATTTTCATTTTATTTGTAAAGCAAACAACGGGATTATGTTGTTCCCGCGACAAGGATCAAGACCCGAATTTTATCGTTATAAGCCTTCTAGTTAACCGCTGAGCCATAAAGATTGTATACACTTTAGACAACAAATATTATTTTAATAATTATTAATAACAACACA